AGCCGCTCGAACGAATCAATTGAATGAATGATTCGGTGATAAAATCAGTGACTTGCCGCCACCTGCTGGCGGATTTAGTTTCATTTTTAGCATATAATTTCAGTTATTTGAATCATATTTCTGTTTTCAAAATTTTATATTTAAAACATTAATCTCCACATGAATTAATGAATTTAATTGCACTCATATGCCACCTCTGAGCCTCATTAAACGTCTGAAAACGTTTGTGTTCTTCTGTGCCACCTCTGTAGTACAAATGAATTTATTAATACTAATTTCATATGATTGGTAACTTATTTGTCTTATTCTACTTATTATTATATTGCAGGGGTTAAAGCAAAAAAAATCTTTTGATTGAAAATTTTTCTTCGACCAAACCCCATTCCTCAGCCATACCTGTCACACACCCAGTTTAAGAGCTGTTTTTTCTTCTTGTAATTCGGAGGGCTTGTCCTCCTAATTTAAATATTTAGGAGCACCTTTCGGCTAATGTCCGTCCCATGCACTGAAAGCTCTCTCCTCCACATCACGAGTAGACACTCCCCTTATTGCTGATTGGCTACAAGTTTGTTTTGCTATTCGGCCCGAATCAGTTTTCTAAAGTGTTTTTGAAAAATCACATACCCTGCCTTTAAAGTGACTTACAAGAGTATATTCTTTTTACCTTTGCAATGGCACCATTTTCATCTATGTCAAATTCAAAAATTTATGTTTATAATCTTTTTTAAATTTCTATTTAAAACAATATGTAGAATAAGACAAATAAGATACCAATCATATGAAATTAGTATTAATAAATTAATTTGTACTACAGAGGTGGCACAGAAGAACACAAAAGTGGCTTGTAGGTACATTTTCAGACATTTAATGAGGCTCAGAGGTGGCATGAGCGCAGTTAAATTCATAAATTCATGTGGAGATTAATGTTTTAAATATAAAATTTTGAAAACAGAAATATGATTCAAATAACTGAAATTATACGCTAAAAATTAAACTAAATCCGCCAGCAGGTGGTGGCAAGTCACTGATTTTATCACTGGATCATTCATTCAATTGATTCGTTCGAACAGCTGAATCATTCAGGAATGAAGCAAGTGACTGTCTTTATGAACTGATGGAAATCCGGTCGTAGCGACGGAACTTTAATCCCTGAGACTTTGTACATCTCTTGGGTTTCCATCAATATGTAACAGCAGAAAAATCCAGCTGTTTACATGCAGCCAAGGTTTAGTGATTGAAATCTCTGCAGTGACTGAAACGGTGATCTACAGAAACAGCAGCAGTAGTTTCTTTTATTATTTTTATTCTTTTATTTTCTTTTAGCAGTATCTTTTGCTATTGCTCTAAATATGTTAATGCATAAATTATTTCAAGGGGTAAATGTGCTAAACAATATCTAAAAGATTATCTCTGCATGACCAAGCGGGGCTGCAGAAATGATTAAGTCAGTATTCGTGATTCTCATGTTATCAAGTAACCAAATTATTTACTTTAAAAGGTAACTATTGATCTATAACAGGCAAACTAATATAAAATGTACACTACAATTTAAAAGTTTGGGGTCAGTAAGGATTTTTTTTTATTTCATAAGCAAGGACGCATTGAATACAAATGATTTCTATTTCAAATAAATACTCTTCTTTTGAACATCAAAGAATCCTGAAAAAAGTATCATGACTTTCCAGAAAAATATGAAGCAGCACAACTGTTTTCGACATTGATAATAATAAGAAATGTTTCTTGAGCATCAAATCAGCATATTAGAATAAAATGATTTCTGAAGGATCAAGTGACACTGAATACTGGAGTAACGATGCTGAAAATTCATCTCTGCATCACAGGAATAAATTGCATTTTAAAATATATTACAATAGAAAAGAGTTATTTTAAATTGTAATAATATTTCAAAATATTACTGTTTTTTACTGTATTTTTGATCAAATAAATGCAGCCTTGGTGAGCATAAAAAGAGACTTCTTTCAAAAACATTAAAACACCTTACTGACCCCAGACTTTTGAACAATAGTGTATATCGTGAATATTATAAAAGCTCTGATCTTGCATAGTTGTGCGTATTTATTGGGAGTAAGCTTCTTCATGTTCCCCATGAGGCTGTTTACACATCACTGCTCTGATCGTTCCTCTGTGGGCTTTTCATCAGAGCCTTTCATACACCATCCACACGGAAAACACATCCGAGCTTCTCCATACGCTCTTACTGAAACATCCTCACATGCTTATCCAACATCTGGCTCTACTGTTGTTCATTCTTGACTGTGAAAGAAAACAAGAGGGTTATGCAACAAACCGAACGTATTAAAAGACATTCTGTACATAAAACAGAAGTAGATATCAAGTGCTTACTTGAAGAAATATAGCACAGATCATGTTATCAGCCATTAGTGTAGAAATTCAGATAATTCTGATAGTTTTATGGCATAGCGGTACATTAAATATTGAATTTAATTGTACCAATTTGTTGCGTATACCTTTAGGAATGAACTTCAGAGAGCTGCTGAATATTCAGAAGCGTGAGAGGCCGTGTGTTATCAGCCATTAGTGTAGAAATTCAGATAATTCTAATAGTTTTATGGCATAGCGGTACATTAAATATTGAATTTAATTGTACCAATTTGTTGTGTATACCTTTAGGAATGAACTTCAGAGAGCTGCTGAATATTCAGAAGCGTGAGAGGCCGTGTTTGGGTCCATCATTTACAAACTCATGGCCAAGACCATTTCCACACTTACCACATTTAACCTGTATAAGATGATACAGAATTCAATGTTCACTTTCTCCAGATCCGAGATTAAAGGAATCAAATTTGCTACAAATTTACTCACCCTAAGATGTAGATGAGTTAGTTTCTTCATCAGAACAGATTTGGAGAAATTTAGCATTACATCACTTGCTCACCAATAGATCCTCTGCAGTGAATGGGTGCCGTCAGAATGAGAGTCCAAACTGTTGCTAAATGCAAAATTTCACCAAATGTGACCCTGGACCACAAAACAGTCATAAGGGTCCATTTTTTTTAAATTGAGATGTATACATAATATGGAAGCTGAACAAATAAGCTTCCCATTGATGTATGGTTTGTTAGGATAGGACAGTAGTTAGCTGAGATACAACTATTTGAAAATCTGGAATATGAGGGTGCAAAAAAATCCAAATATTGAGAAAATCGCCTTTAAAGTTGTCCAAATGAAGTTATTAGCAATGCATATTATTAATCAAAAATTAAGTTTTGATATATTTACGATAGGAAATTTACAAAATATCTTCATGGAACATGATCTTTACTTAATATCCTAATGATTTTCGGCATAAAAGAAAAATCGATCATTTTGACCCATACAATGTATTGTTGGCTATTGCTACAAATATACCCATGCTACTTATGACTGGTTTTGTGGTCCAGGGTCACATATCTGTTCTGATGAAGATCTTGGATGGAATGAGAGTGAGTAAATTATCAGCAATTTTTCATATTGGGGTGAACTATTTCTTTAGGTACTTCAAATTCTCAAAACAAATAAAAGAAAAAAGAAACAGACTGGAAACCACTTCAGCCTTCACCTTATAAGCACCCCATCTCTCCTCATGTTTAGACACTGTTTTCGTGGATGGTTTCTGTGAAGGCTGGCCAGGGTGATGAATGCTCATATTTGGAGCTGCTGGAGAACAGCTCATGCCCACATTCAGCACAAACATACATGCCTGCAGAAGAAACACACATGTAAGTCTCAGTCAGAATCCCACTGGCAGTGTAAAATATTTCTGAATCTTATTTTATGCAGTTACTAATTTGCCAGAAAGTCACTAATGCTACTATTCAGCTACATTCTCTTAAAAAAACTTGATGTATAAGATTAAACTGATAACTGAGAAATAAATGAAGAAAAAGACATCCGATTACCATTAACATACATTAACTTTTACTGTACCATTTTTTATGATGCTTTGGCAATATTAAATGTCAAAAAATCATATCAAAAAGTACTTTTATATCTGAAACAAAGGCTGAACAAGAACTTTCTTCTCTTAGCAACAAGAGCCATAACGTTAAAACAAGACTTTCCCATAGTTTTACTAATGAAAACTACATATACATGATATTACACAAGCTGCCATGTTTACATGTGTTGTATAGTAGGCTTCATCGGGGTCAATTTACCAGTCTCAAAATGACCTTTATAAAACTCCCCTCCAGAGAACGAACAGAAAGACATGACTACACCGACTGTGATAAAGTTCAGACGAACGATTGTAACTATCTGTATCAACTGGTGTTTTATAACCTCAGCTGGTGGGAGAAGCGTGTCTGTACCACGTGACCACACAATCGCTATTGCATGACAGCAGCAGGGATCTGCAGTCAAGTTATTTTTTAAAAATTAGACACACAGTATCATAAATAAGCCCAGATATTATAGCAAAATAATAGCTTCTCCACCATAAGAAACAAGTACACAATAGACATTAGCTAAAGTACTGACTGCAGTGCAACTATACCATATTTACATACTAAAACCACACATACATGTCCAGTCTGTGTTACATAAATTATATAATCTTATAAATAGAAAGTTTAAGAACTTTTTTTAAATAAAGATGAGTATGAAGAGTAGGTAATGCAGGTTTAATGGGAAGCCTTAATGACCTATTTGTTTATAAATCACTTTTTTTTTTTTTTTTTACATTTTATATTTGCATCTGTTTTAGTTTTATAATTGACAACTTTATGTATCAATGTCCCAAGTGATCCAATATCATATGAGTGCAACGACGACATCTATTTGCAGAAAAAAAAATTGCATCTATAACCTTTCACCTTCAACCTGGCTGTTTACAAACGAATCGTGGAGATAAAATAGTCTTTTTTTTTCTTTTCTTTTTTTTTTGGACAGATTAATGGCATATTTGTTTTATCAAAATGATTTACATACAATAAAATAAAAGTCATTTCACTCGGTTTATTCGTCGCAGTTTGGTGACCTTTCTCGCCATGTTGTGTGAAGCGCGCATGCGCACTGTGGAGGAGAGCGACGGCAGATTGAGGTCGATTAAAGGATTTTTTAGATTTCCCTTCCAATTAATGGTCGAAAATGCCGAAAGATCACGATAAAGATGTGTATCCAGAGCCTCCCAGTCGGACCCCAGTGGTGGACAGACAATCGGTTCTGCCGAATCCAGCTTTAATACTGTCAAAGCTCTTCTACTACTCGGTGGATTTGCCAGTGACTACATTCAGAGGTGAAGCGACTCCTGACTAGTGCATCTGATACTGTTTACACAGGCTTATTCATCCAGTTTGATATATAGTAGCCCTTGAAGTGTGAAAGGCACATTATGGACATGCATTTGTGTTTTAACCTTTGTATAAGAGGACGTAATTTCTGAATATTCACACTTTACAGGCATGTGCATGACCCTAAGAGTCAGCATCTCTTCTAAGTATCATGTGTCCATGTTGTTTAATATCAAACACAAACTTTTAACCCTTATGTCAAGTTGCATCAGTTTTTGAGTTATGAGTATTGGAGATATTCGTTAAACTATGATGATTTTCTTGGAGTTTTGTGACTTTTTTTTCCTTATTGGTTGTTTGTGTTTTTGTAATAGCAATGGATTTTAGTTTAGTTTCATTTATTGTTATTTCAGAATTAAAGAAAGAGGTTATTGAAGAAATAGTTTACCCAAAAAATGTGCTGAAAATGCTCAGACCATCCAAGATGTAGATGAGTTTGTTTCATCATCAGAACAGATTTGGAGAAATGTATCATTGCATCACTTGCTCATCAATGGATCCTCTGCAGTGAATGGGTGCCGTCAGAATGAGAGTCCAAACAGCTGATAAAAACATCACAATAATCCACATGACTCCAGTCTATCAATTAACATATTGTGAAGTGAAAAGCTGCGTGTTTGTAAGAACTAAACCCATTGAGGCGTTTTGACTTTAAGCAAACATTTCTAGCGAGTCCATAATCCTTAATAATGTTTCTTCTAGTGAAAAAGTTCATGCCCTGTTGTCCTCTCACATAAAAATCCACCAACATATTTGTTTAGAACTGTTTTGCACTGTTTTCTGTTCTTATAAACAGTGCTTGATCTGTGCATATTTCGCTCCTGATTCAGACAAGACACATTTTTCACTGGAGAAAGCAATATTATGGATAGAGGACTTGTATTTTAGCCGGTTTTAAGTTAAAAACATCTTAATGATGAATTTGTTTGATATAAACAGCTTTTGGCTTCATAAGACATTAATGGATGATCTGGAGTCATGTGGATTAATTGCGTTTTTTTAAATCAGCTGTTTGGACTCTCATTCTGACGGCACCCATTCACTGCAGAGGATCCACTGATGAGCAAGTGATGCAATGATACATTTCTCCAAATCTGTTCTGATGAAGAAACAAACTCATCGATGATCTGGAGTCATGTGGATTAATTGCGTTTTTTTAAATCAGCTGTTTGGACTCTCATTCTGACGGCACCCATTCACTGCAGAGGATCCATTGGTGAGCAAGTGATGTAACGCTACATTTCTCCAGATCTGTACCGGTGAAAAACAGACTCACCTACATCTTGGATGGCATGAGGGTGAGTAAATTTTCATTTTTCGGTGAACTATTCTTGTAATGACTAAAACAAATGATAACTAAAATCTATTTGGCTAGTAATTCATGATCCTTATTTAATTGCCCTGCTTTTTGATCTACCAGACATTGTCGAAGGCATCCAGAGCGGTAAGAAGTCTCACTACTACCATCAGAAGTTCCGCCGTGTTCCTGAGCTGACTCAGTGCCGGGAAGGAGATTATGTGTGCTATTATGAGGCCGAGATGCAGTGGAGAAGAGACTAGTATGTTGCCTCAGAAAGCCTTGTAGTACTATATCGTTAAGCATTGCATTACATAATGAAGCTTTGTGCACACAATCACTATTTATTTATTTTTTGCGCTGTGGATCACCGGATCGGCTTTCACCGTGGACGAAGCGGAGTCCAGCCCGCGAGTCCAGGTCGTCACATGTGGTTGCCGCAAGCCCGCCTTTTAAAGGCGTCCACTCCTTCATCGAATGTACAGTATGTGGAAAATAATGTGTTTTTTGAACCTTAAACCGCATAAACACATTTCATTACACCAAATACACAAAATAATGTTCTTTTTAGCAGCATCATATGACCCCTTTAAATCCATTCAATATGTAACACAACGGGACAACTTCAAGTCAGTTGTACTAGATGTTGTCTAAAATGCTTTTAAGTTGACAAGGAAATCAAAAGTGTTTATATAAATGTCCATGAGTTATTTTCCGGCTGTTAACATCTTTAATTCTTCTAGATGGGGATCTTGGTGCGTACGCCAGCGCACGGAAGTGTCTGATGAAACAGAAGGAGAGGATGATGGCAGAGCAACAGCAGGCATAAACCTATAAACTTCTCCTTTGGCTTTTCTATGTCAATCTCTCTCATCTGTGTATCGAAGTGTAAAATAAAGTTTATTGGAAAGAGATCATGTTCCATGAAGATATTAAACAGGGTTCCCACGCTTCTTGAAAGTACTTGAATTTCAGACATGTGGATTCAAGGCCTGGAAAGTACTTGAAAACAAACATAGGTCCTTGAAAGTGCTTCAATTAAATTTGAAATAAATTTTGTTTATGGCGCTATTTACAAAATTGTCCTATATGTTCTGTCAAAGACAGAACAAGCGGCATTAATGATTGGGGGTGGAGATGGGGGAGCGCGAAAAAAACGAAGAAAAAAAAAAACGATGCACAGCCTAGAGTCCTGAGCTTTTTATTATTTACTATTTACTTGTCTTTTTTAGTTAAAATAAGGCCATGTCCACACGTACATGTGTATTTTTATAAACTGAGTTTTTCATTCTTCCGTTTTTAAAAAAATCTCCGTCCACATGAAAACGCAAACGCGTGGTCCATGAGAAATAGTCCTGCCACTACAGCTGGAAAAAATCCTAGAGGAAACACTGTATGCATTTAATAAAATTTGAAAAATGCATTTACAAAGGTATAAAGAAAATGCCCCTGAAATCACTTTGAGTCAAATGTCAGCTCGTATTATGAAGGCTAATTCTTGATCAGAATTTTTGATTATTGATCAGAAGGTGCTCCTAAATTTTTTTAATTAGTAGGACAAGCGCTCCTACTTACAATAAGAAAAACACTGCTCTTAAACTGGGTGTGTGACGGGTATGGCTGTGGAATGGGGTTTGGCTGAGGAAAAATTCAGTCAAAAGATTTACAGTTTAAAAGCAAATAGAAAGTCCTATTTTTTAAAATTTATTTTCTTAATATTTTTTTGCAGATTTGCACATATACAAGGTTTAAAATGTTCATTAAATATTTTTAAAAAATACTGACGTTTTGAGCAGTTGCATGTTTAAGGTGGTGTTCATGAAAGAGTGGGAACCCTGGATGATGTATAAATCTCAATTTCAAGAAATTGACCCTTATGACTGGTTTTGTGGTCCAGGGTCACATTTGTGCTTTAGTTTAATATCAGTTGTGTTGTTGGTAATGTATAGACGTTTCCAACATTTTAAAAACCATATTATAGTTTATTTCATATGTAATGGCTTATTAACATTTGCTGCTCAAAGTCTGTAAATCACAATACACTTCTCTATAAATATGTGTTCCAGCCAAGTAAGATTTGTTTTCTAATGTACCGACAATCGTGGCAGCTACTGGACAGCAGGTACACTGATGTACACATTAATGTTGCACAAAGAGGGTTGACCTCAGCAAACAGTATGCCAAATATTTAATTAATGATCATTGCTTTGTTCTTTTGAACTTTCTCATTAAACAATTCTGAAAAAATTTAGCAGTTTCCACAAAAATAATAATCAGCACAACTGTTTTCAACATTGATATCAAATGTTTTTGGAGCTGAAAATCAGCAGATTAGAATGATTTCTGGTGGATCATGTGACACTAAAGACTGCAGTAATGATGCTGAAAATTTAGCTTTACATCACAGGAATAAATTATATTTAAAAATATATTACAACAGACAAGTTTTTAAATTATGTTTTACAATATTACTATTTTTGTTTTTAATCAAATAAATGCAGCCTTGGTGAGTAAAATATTAAAAATTAAAAAAATCTTACTAGTACGGCATTCCAGGTGAATTAAAATGACACTAAACAGCTATGATGCAAAACATGTTATAAACACCTATATAGTGCATTTAAAGGGGTCATATAATGCTACATGCACTTTTACAAGTTGTTTGAACTGAAATGTGTGTTGGCAGTGTGTATACACAACCACCCTAAAATGATACAAATCCACCCAGTGGTTTTTTTGTTAATCTACTAAAATCTTTACCCCTTTCTCAAATCGATCCAATCTCAGATGCCGGCCCCTCCCATGATAGTCTGATTGACAGTGGCGTTTCAGCACAGACTGGACTGGTGTCTTACCTTAGCTCCGCCCTGAGTGAGCTGTCATCAGTCCGCCATTGTTTCACCACCGGAGCAGATGTAGACAAGAATGACTCCCAAGCGATTGAGGTGTTCTGTTGTTGGATGTAATAATGAACATAGCAGTCGTCATTTACTCCCGACATCTGAGCCGCTGAAGACGCAGTAGATTACATTTGTTTCTGAAGGGAATGCGCCCCCGATCTACATAACTGCATCTGTTTGCGCGAATCATTCGTGATCCAGCCTCATCTACAGAAGTGAGTGTAAGGTTTTTTTAACGAGCCTTTCCTAATAATGTGCTAATTAGCAAGTTTCACGATGAATGCGGCTAAAGTAAACAGTCCCTCAGAGAGGGGCGGGGTCAGCAGAGCTCATTAACATTTAAAGGAAAATGCTACAAAA